TAAAACTGAAAATTCACTTCTCTATCTTCACTCTTTAAAAATCAAATACTATAAAGTGAAGAAGCTTGATTAAAATAAGGCTAGAATGTTTCCAAGAGACAGGCAGTCCCCTTGGAGGCCACAGCACAGGGATACCATCTATTTAAAAAAAACAAAAACAAAAAACCCCAAACAAACAAAAAAAAAACCCACAAAAAAGTTGATTTTTCAAAAGTGAGAGCCCGATTTAGTGAAAGGCTGAGCATTACAATTCAGTTCAGTTTCAAATTAAATTTGAAAATTGAGATTTCAATTAAAATTCAATTTCAGTTTTCAGAAAGACTTGCAGTTACAAGTCAAGGTGTTCAGTTCCAGCAAATGTGAATGGATGCAGTTGGGCAAAAATTCCAGAGTTTAATATCTTAAAGGATGGGCTCTGGATTACCTGTTACGCAGAAGAGATTCCTACTGTGTTTTGAAGAGACCGCCTCGGTGCCTAGTAGCAGCAGCCTAAAACCAGTGTGAATATTAGAAATCATCAGGAAAGGGGTAAAAAAAAAACGAAAGGGGAATCCTTATTCTTGTTCTAGGATAAATCTTCAGTGTTGCCCTGTATCCAGATCCATCTTCACAGGGTGTGGTAGGAGTGAGTGGTAAGGAGAGACCATGAAATGTCAACTGGGTGCTGTATGAAGAACTATACAGACTATGGGAGAAGCGAAGGGATGTGTGGGAGCACGCTGCGGGATCACGGGGGGCATCTGGGAAGGGGAAGGAGTAATGCTTGCTCATTGTTGAGCAAGATCCTTGAAGGAAAGAGCATCAGAGAGGTTCCTGGGTGCTGCGTTTAGGACAAATGAGCACTTGTCTTCTCGTACAGGTGTAGTCAGACTGGAACTCGTTGCTGCAACAGTGAGTACTTTGAAAGGAGAAAAAGCAAAATAAATAGGAATAGAGTTTACCTTTGCTGTGTATCTGCTGTGGATTGCTGTTGGCAGCAGGACGTTAGGGTGTTTTATTTTTACATGCAAGTACAAGAGTAATTTGGATTGGAAAAATCCATATACAACTGCTAAAAATGATACAGGTTTTGGAGTGTTTCTTTAAGTTTTGGTTACCTTGGTGGGCTGCTGTTATACTCCTCGAAACATTCCGGTCGTGTTTAGAGGGCGTAGATAAAAGCAAGCATTACAGTGCATCAGCAGCTCAGAAGGAATCTTAAAACATCCTGATTTTATGGAGTGTATGCGGCCGTTGCCCTCTGTTTTCATGAATGGCCGAGGCACTTTTTCATTTCTCCATGAATAGTGGATCGTTTGAACAGGTGACAGAGTGAGATCTGCAGTGGTTTGTACATCAGTCCTTAGTTTACAACTTGATTTTTTTTTAAATTTCATTTTTGCTTCTTTCACAAAGCTCTTTTTGAACTGAAATCCCTTAACTGTTCGTTTTGTTTGGAAGCTGTGCTTTACCCTCAGTGTTTTTACACTCACTACATTACTTTAGTCTTCAGCACAGCGTAGTAATGCTACAAAAGCAAAGTAAATTGAATTAACCCTTTCTGAATCCTCAGAAGGGACCTAAAAGGTGCCTCATTCTTTCACAGTCCTTCAGGGTTTTGCTCTGCCTGAGGTTTGCTTTTCTTCAAGAAAAAAAAAAAAAGATTCTATTTCAGCAGCTGATTTTATCACTTAAAAGGAATTTAACTGAAAGGGAAACATGGTCTGTTTGCACAATAACTGTTGTTGCCATCTCGAGTGTCAGAGCTGGGAATCCTTGGGCATTCCAGTTTGCTTTCCAGAGAAGGTGCTGGGGCAAGGCTGCAAGGCGTGGGGTGTAAGCAATCGATGCTGCCACCGCTCTCGCTGGATTAATGCTTTCTTGTTTCCACCCTTGCTGAGCTCAGCTGGGCTTTTGAATCTAGTCGGGACATTATGGTTAAAGCAAGCTATTTTCTGACCTAGTTCGTGTGGTTTTATTAAAAAAAAAAAAAAAAAAATCTAAGCTCTGAGAGTTTCAACAGGGTTGGAAACATAAAAATAAAGTGATGGATAATACAATAAAACTCTCCTGCGATTCTCCCAGTGCTAGTTCCCTTTGCTCTGGAATTCTCCTACTATTTTGCAAGTTGAAATCAAAACGTTTTACGACAGCTTTTTCGTTGGCATTAAGAAGGCTCCAAGAACGTTACTGCCCGTCAGCCACGACGTGCTGACTTAGTTGCACGCTCTGATTTTAGTCCTTACAAAAGGAGCTGGTTTTAGGAAGATGCTTTCTGAGGAAATAAATCTCCTGTAAAAGTTTTCTTTTGGGGAGAGGATTTAAGAAGCGATAATGAGATTTTTTGACTTGGTCTTTGCTAGGATGGTCCAATAGTGATGCTCTCAAGGACCTTCTCCTAGATCTGTGTCAAGCTCTTTCATTCAAAAATACTTAAATCCCTTAACACGCTGTTCTTACAAGGGCTTCCACCTCCACACCGCCCTGGTGTAGCACTACCTGGCCTCACGTAAGGCCTAAGTGTAGACTGCCCAGTCCCCTTTCTCCTCTCCAGCTGGTCAGGACTGGAGTTGGCCAGTGAAGACAGACGTGCCCTCACTCTAGATCCGCAAGCAGACACGTGCATTCCCAGATCTCTGAGTATCAGTGTGAGCTCTCTGTTTGCTCTATGTGGCTCCTGCTCACGGGCTGGTGCAGCGTGCTTCTCGCTGGCAAAGAGGTGCACACGTTTGTCTCGAGCATCTCCACGCTTGCAGACCCCTTGAATATCAGCATGGGCCCTGTGTCCGTGCCTGGATCCTGGACTTCCTGCTTGCCACCTAGACCAGTTTGCCAGCAAATTACGTACACCGTCATCCTCAGCTCCCACCATCACGTTTGGGGAAAAGTAAATCCCTCCATCCCATGGAGCTGGTGCCCAGGCACACGGATCCTGTGACCTGCAGTCCCACTCCAGCCGAGGGGCCAAGACCCTCACTCAGCTTCACCCCAGTCCCCCTAGCAGCTGGCACCAAGGCACACGGACCCTGTGCACTGCGATGCGGCACCAGTGGCTGATGCTGGGACCCTCACCTGTTCCACTTGCAGGGGCTCCTTCACTGAAGGTCTGACACCAGTTGCTGGCCCTGGATTCACCCTTTAAGGACACCCCAGAAACATGCTTCATAGTCCATGGCCCCTCCAGCTGCTGCTGCTGAGACCCCCCACCCGTGCCAGCTGCTGGCCCCACAGGGGTTTCTCCTGAGGTCTGATCTAGTTGCTTGCCCAAATTTTATCATGCTGATCTCCAGTGCTTGCATGGGCCAGAGAGGAAGGTTGAGATAGTTGAGAAAAGTTTGGTTGTTCAGTTTTGCATGGTGGTCCCACTTGTCCCCGTCCTACCAGTTACAAAGTCCAGGCTGGCGCTCTCCAAAGCTGTGCCTGTAGTTTCTTAACGGCCTATTAATTAGCAACTGGAGCTTTTCTGGAGCTTTTCCTTCTTTCTGATTGTCTCTCTTATCCATTGTCTTATCGGGTTTGTGTCACGGTGTGTTTTATTTAGCACTTTCCTGTTATTTAGATCTCCCTTTGAGCCGAGAAGGTCCTTGATCTGATACCCTCACTGCAGCAGATGCTCTCGCATTCCACGTACCCTCACAGTGTGTTGCTTTTGTATGGTTTTTAATTTTTTTTTTTTTTCCTAGTAAAACATATCAGGGAGGAAAATGCATTCTGGTTTTTGAGGATTCTTTTGTCTTTTTTTTAAAAAAAAAAAATATCTGGCTCCTGTTTATGACCTGCCACTTCACCATTCGTTTTCAAAAATTTCCGTTCAGGACTTTTTGCCAAATATTCTTTGCAAAGCACAAACCTAACACAGCGTGATGGAAGTGTCAGTGGTTTTCCCTGAGGGCCCCGTTGCTGTACTGGAAGCGCAGATTCTGTGGTAAAGGAGACTGGTCATGGGACTGTTGATCCAACGGATAACGCAGTCGGGTTTACAACGTAGTTGCAGGATGCCCAGAAGAACAGAAGGGTAAAAGAAATACCATGCAGTTGTTTTTTCCACTGGGTCACCATCCACACTGTGGGTTGGTGGTAGCTTTTTGCCTTGTGCAGTCTGTTAGTTTTCTTCTGCAGAGCTCCTTGAAAAGGATCTCGGGCTTTCTTCGAATTTGCCGTTATCAGTTCTGCGATGACTTAGATTTGTAAAACGTAAAAAAAACCCAATCCTACGCTCTCACTGCTTGGAGTGATCCTTATGAAAGTGTTTCAGACCCTTGTGTGTGTGTAACTAAACTGGTTTCGTTTGTGTCTTATTGCAAAAGGCTCTTTCCAGAGGAAGTTACTAGAGACTTTTGAGTTTCTGACTAAACACTCGTGAATTTGCCATCAGTTTGGTGAGCGGAGCAGTTAACCACGCTACCCAACCATCCGTTGCTTTGTCTTTTCACCAGGAAAGAACATGTTGGTGCTTGCTTCTTTGAGGAGTTCTTACAGTACGTTCTCTTTGCTCTGTTGTCTCACCTGGTGGAAATGGAGTACGACATACAGGCTTTTTGCTCTGTTCAGGGATCTTAGGGACTTAGTTTATCGACTTCCTAGCTGAGTGGTTCACAACTTGGAAAAATAAGGGAAGTATGGCGTTCTTTTGCTGTCAAGGTATTAAGTAACACCTTGGATATGGCAGTCGCTTCAGTCTGAATGTGTTCTGAGTTATTTTGGGATGAGCACGGAGCCCAGTGGCAGCCAGGGTTTTAAATGGAAAGCTGAAGCCAGGTTGGATGAGGCTTTGGGCAACCTGGTGTAGTGGAGGGTGTCCCTGCCCATGGCAGGGGGGTTGGAACTGGGTGATCTTTGAGATCCCTTCCAACCCAGACCATTTTGTGATTCTGTGATTCTATGAAAACTGATTTTTGCCCCTTGATAAGTAATATTTTATAGTTTAATGTGTTCCGCTGAGCAGAGACATTAACCAGCTCAGGACAAGGAAGTTATTTCGGATTTTCATTGTAGCCCTGACATGTCCTTTCTTTTTGCAGACAGTCATAGATGCCCATATCTTTCCAGCTCTTATCAATATCTTGCAAACAGCTGAGTTTCGGACAAGGAAGGAAGCGGCGTGGGCAATCACAAACGCAACGTCTGGAGGCTCCGCTGAACAGATCAAGTATGAAATAGTTGGAATCTTTCAGTGCAACCGAGTGAATTAGTGTTTGTGCCAGAACTCCAACTAAGAACCTAGAAACTGGAAAACCTTCCTGTGTTCTGTGTTGTATCCAGAGAGACCGTGTCCATTGTGCCGAGCTGCGAATGAGCCATTCATTCCTTTAGGGAGAAATCACATAAGTATTTCAGCTGTAGTACTTAATTAATTAATTGAACCCTTTTTCTTAAGTGAAAAAACTAAATGCAACTTTGAAAGTAATTTCTTAGTGGTCGTTGTGGGGTGCAATAAAGTGCACGAGCAGTCTGGAGAGGAATAGCTCAGCCCCTCGGACAAGGGCATCGTGTGCTTTGTTTTTCCTGTTTAACATGTACTGGTGCTTATCAAATAAAATCAAATAATAAAATTATATTAATGTATTTGAGATTAATAGAAAATCTATAGTTACAGAATTATAAATGACAAAATTAAATTATTATTTCATGTCTATATAGAGACAGACAGGTATTTTAAAGTTATTTTCATTGTTTCAGCAGAATTGACTAGATACAAATAGATGTCAAGAATTTCTCCGTTTGAGTTGATATTTCATCTGTTTTGGTTCCTAGACCTTCATGCCAAGTGTTTAAATGACTACACCAATTGCAGTCTTGCAGACAATTTACTGGATTCCATGTTGTGTTTTCCAGGTATTTAGTAGAACTGGGATGCATCAAACCCCTCTGCGACCTCCTTACAGTAATGGACTCCAAGATTGTGCAAGTGGCACTGAACGGGCTGGAGAACATCCTGAGGCTTGGAGAGCAGGAATCCAAACGCAGCGGCACTGGCATTAACCCTTACTGCGCCCTCATCGAGGAAGCGTATGGTACGAGCAAAGCATCGGTGGAAGTCAGGGGTTAAAGCAACGATCACGAGCCCATTGCAGTTTCAGTAGACCCAGTTCCATTAATTTTCTCATCACTATTATCTGAAAATTAACTGTTCTTTGACAAGCCTCCATTTCCCAATGTACTCCATCTTCTACGTTGTCTTTGTACGTAGGTTGGAGACAGTATGTGCAGATCTTATTTTCTTAATTTCTTTCGACCCTGAGGGAGCCTTCAGGGTGTCATCCAGCCTCAGTATCTTCCCTCCACAGCAGACAGAAGTTCAGATGCACTGCTCCACTCAGGTTTCAGACCTTTCCCTTCCTTCACTGCTGCCCTGTAGAATTATGGCAGCAGCAGCAACTTCCCAGTTTGCCTTTGCTGTGCTGAGGTTCTGGCACGTACTGGCGTGATTTCATCCCAGTTCCGAGGTCTTAACTGCTTAACTGTAACTAAACCGCTGCTCTTAAGGTGGGTTTCCTTGTTGATTGGCAAGTACTTACCAAGAAAAATAAAAACAGGTCACCAAGAGCAGTGTAGAAGAGGATGGTATCACTGAATATGGTTTCTCGAACCATGGTTCCCTTCGTGGTTGCCTTGACTTCCAGGGAAGAGTTATATCAGAATAGGATTTTTTTTTTTCTTGCCTCCTTCTAGGTCATAACTTCCCTTTTCACATCAGTGTTGCAGAAGTGTCTATAGAGTATCAGAGAATCGTTTCCTCCCATGGCAGGGGGGTTGGAACTGGATGATCCAACCCAAACCCTTCCATGATTCATACATAGTAAAAGGAGCAGACAAGAAAGCCACCACAGTTCCCGATATTAGAGATTTACTTGGGTGGCTAAGACTTGGATTTCACTGCAGTGTCGTTCCTAGGTATCTAAGATTGTTTAGCTTGCTGTGTTATTGTAATTTCTTTCTGGCTACCTGAGTTTGCCCATCTGCTTAATGTCTGCCCAAAAACTGGTTGCACGAGTTTAACTGCGTTGTATATGCACGTGATACAGATTAGGCAATGGAGTCTCCATCCTTGGAAGTTTTGAAGACTTGGTTAGACACAGCTGACCTAGTCTGGTGTTGGTAGTAGTGCTGGGCTGGGCTGCAGGTTAGAGTGGATGATGACCACAAGTGTCTTCCAGGTGCAGTTATGTGATTGTGTAGTCATGGTCCTTGTAAACAAAGCACTGTGAGCGCGCTTTCAGGAAACGTGCTCCTAAAAGTCTCCTCGGAAAAAGTCTTTAAGGCCTTTTCTTTACAATTCAAGCTGCTCAATTTCATTTTTTGAGTGCAAGGGTAGAGGCAAACAGAATATGAAACACATCACACAGGCAACTGTGCAGTTCAGCCTGTTTTCCCCTGGGTGTGGAGAGTACAAGTTGGGCAAGGGTCTGCAGAGAGGGACCTGTTCCTTCTGAAGGTGGGGGAGACTTGTCATGGGACTTGGTGTTCACAACAGACTGAAAACGATCATGGTCATAGGCTTTCACCGAGCTGTAACTTTTATGTCCTCCTTTTCCCTGCAGGCCTGGACAAGATTGAATTCCTGCAGAGCCATGAGAATCAAGAGATTTATCAGAAGGCCTTTGATCTGATTGAGCACTACTTTGGAACGGAGGATGAAGACAGCAGCATTGCCCCACAGGTGGATCTCGGCCAGCAACAGTACATCTTCCAGCAGTGTGAGGCTCCCATGGAAGGCTTCCAGCTCTGAGGTGCCCCTGTGCTGTGTGCTCCTCTACCTGGCCAATCCTGTTGTCGAGCCACAAGCCACCCGTGGAGTGATTCTCTCACTGTTTTCCATAACCCTGTTTGCGCTCATTCGCTTGCCTTGTGCACATGCTCTTACATACATCTGGAAAACTTTCGGCTCTCCGTGGCAGGATGCCCCCCCTCCTTGACAAGGGGTCGCCAGAGTCACCCTTCTCCTCTAGATTCTGAACCTCTCCACTGTCATCTTCGTGGAGTTGAGGCACCTTTCTATACTTTGAGATATTCCCTGCTCCTATTACAGGAAAAGAATCCCTCCTCCACTAGCCCCCACACTCCTGGCATCCAAGATCAGGCTGCCTTCCTCGTGTATTCGCTGCAGTGCGTGCCTGCAGTCCAGGGAGACGTTCAGACTTTCTGAGAACGTCGCTGAATTAAACGCTCTTCCCTGGACGCCTCTTTGGATGGCCACGTGAGATGCGTTGAACCTTCACATGCCATGTATCTACTTTGCTGCATGTGCCAGCTGGGGTTATTGGCGTCTAGAACATGTTACAAATAATGGAGTAAGTTCTCTGTCCCCTGCAACAACAGGCTGCAATGGACATGTTTTCTGGTTCTTGAGGATACTGAGCACACCTGGCCCCATCCCTTCTCAAAACTGAGCTCCCAAGCTGGATTGCAGACCACTGTGGAGATTCGTGTACCTTCCCAGTCTTTCCATCCGCAAAAAAAAAAGAGCCTGTGAATAGGTCACTCTTCCCACCTCCCCAGAAATGACTTTTCCAGCCAGCTTCTAGAATGGAGAAACTACCCCCACTTCTGCTTGCCAGCACAGTGTGATCCAGCTGGGCCTTCCTTAAAAATCAAGCACTTCCTGACTTCACGATCCAGTCTGGTCCTTGGTATTCTGGTTACGGCTGAAAAATTCCTGTCTGCCTCTTTACATTTTTACACAGTGTGACTTGAACAGATTTCTCTTCTGAAAAATTACCTTCCGGCTACAGAAATCGTAACTTGGACAACTTGGCACAAGGAGCGTTAGATCTCCTTTCATTTCCACGAGACAAGAGCTTCCTCTCCAGCTCACCTGATGAAAAATAGAGTCCTCCTGGTCAGGTCCCTTATTTAACAGCTAAAATGACACTACATCCAAAGGATAGTAATGTTCCACCCGGATCTGCCTGGCCCTTTCATTTCATTGTCTCCTTTTGCTGTTTATGGGATTGAGGTGGATTGGCACGGAACGCGTGGTTCCCGCCGGGCACATCCGTACGGCACCGCTGACGGCACGGCAGCTGCAGGCTGCCCTTCTGCTGGCAGCACGTTCCTGGCTCCGCAGCCCGACGGGCATCTGATGGAAAGGCTGGCCGCTCCTTGCTGAGCTCAGCTGGCATCGACACCAAACTCCGCACGCAGCCGGGGAGATGCCACGTGATGGGAAGTGGCGGTTCCGTTCCGGTAAATGCCGTGGATTCTCCAGGCCATGTGCTCCCCCCCTGCACCAGGCTGTGTTCTTCCAAGCCATTTTGGACGCTCGGGACACGCGTTTGTCCCGTGTAAACATTTCAGAACCGCCACCGACAACCGCAGCGTGGTGTGCCAGTGGTGAACGTGAGCGGCGGGACCCTCCGCGGGACCCTCCGCAGTGACACGCCACCAAGAGCAAAACCAGCCCGTTGGACACAGAACAATAAACCCACCGGAATCACTCATCAAACTGCTGACAGAAGCTGGGCAAAGGCCCCACCATCAGCTCCGTGTGACCCTTAAACACAGTCTCCGGTTCTGTCCGGGCTTCAGGATGGAGACTCCGACCCCTGTGGCCACCGCAGAGGCCACCTGCTGCCTCCCTGGTGAAGCCAGGTGGCCTCCACCCTCCCTCTCCCAGTTATTTTCTCTAGTGCTGCTTTGTGCTGAAGGAACATTTAGTTTACTGCACTTAATCTGTAAATGGACTTCGATTCTTTGTAATTTTAGGGGGTTAAATTTGGTGGTTAATTTAAAAAAAAAAAAAAGCAAAAAAAAACCAACCACCCCTCAATGTTGCCTTTACATCACACATAAATAACTGTGTTTCTCTTTTCTTGAAGGGTGATAGAAGCACTGACGAGTAGCAGAATCTTGTTTTAGCTTTTGGATTTTTTTGTGCTGGATTTTTTTACGTGTAAATTTCCAATAACATGTCATTTCTACAAGATTTGTTTAAAATCACGTACCTCTTATTGGACGGTATAAAAAAAAAAAGCTACATATTTTGTAAACAAATCTGAGCAAAGTGTGTGTGCATATATTCTGTATATTCATATATGTATATTCTGTGTATATATACACTGACGTGTATGTATACATGTGTGCACACACGCGTGTATATACACACACGTGCGCACACGTGTGTGTGTGTATATACATATCTATATATCTATATATCTATATATATATACGTGTTTTCTCTTCCAGGCTAGTGAGAACAATGTGGTGCATTGGCGTTTCCCTCCCTCACCCCCCGAGAAAATAATGACCATTGCCTCTAAATGAGTGAATTAATTAAAAAAAACCCAAAAAACACGAGTCCATTTAAGCGGAACGGTGTGCCTTCCTGTGCCAGGAGCCTGGCTGGTGTGTGTTCCTTTTGCAGTGGGTATGTGAATTCGGAGCAGATAAGTACAAATCCTTGAGCTTGGTGGTGTTTTTTGGAGTGGCAGGCTTGGCTGACACAGGGAGTATTGTTGTCTTATCTACTCAGACTGTGTAAGGCGTTGGGCTGGCACTGCGTTAACGTTTTTGCCTGAAAACTGAAGTTTAATACAAAAATCACCGTGGCACACATTAAATGGATTGGAATGTGGCTAACTCCTAGGTCTCCATTTAATTTTCAGTGTTGCTTGATCGAGTGAATTCCCATCAGGATCTTCCAGCAACCAGTTCTTGGCCTTGCTTTACTCATTAAGGGTTGAAAAGAAACAAAATCCTCTTCTAACGAAGGCTGCAAACGATGTGAGCACGCAAGGGGGATCAGACTTGGGAATTGGGAACGGAACAGCACGCTGGTACAGGCTGGCCAGAATTACCTGGTAAACCAAGGGCAAGAGAACTGTTTGCGTTTCACTAGAGCCAGGCGTGTGGTGTAACATCACCCACCTGATCAATAACGCTCAGGCCGCAGGCAAGACCCCGTTTTGGGTGAAAAGTGCCCCTGA